GTATGACAATAATTTTCTCTTATATGTGTCTTACAGTATAACAAGTTTTATTACAAGTCAACGTGATACAAACATTCATAGAGACTACTAGTTCGAGAGGCTCTTCTGATGCATTGTAGCATGATTTGTGCCGAGAATCAGTAACGGTTTTCTAATTTGGTTTTCAATTAAAGCTTATAAGTGATTATACCCTAGTCTTACTGAGCTCAACTGCATGTGAAGTGTCTCTCCACAAGATTTTTCGCTGCAAATCTGCTCATCTCAATGCTTTTACGATTACCTCTTACGATATATTTGCTAGAGTTGTAACCATAGAAATTAGCGAGAAAAATATTGATCACGGATTGATCATACCTGAAAGAAAGTACCAAGTGACTTATGAGATCCGTGTGAAGAGAAGCTCAAAAAATACAAAGTTCATACGTCTACATATTTTAGAAACAGATCAGCGGCTTATCTGCCGTGCGAATTTGCTTTATATTCTCGCTTCAGAATGCTCAAAACTTACACGATTTGCTCAATAGAGATGTCTAAAGGGGTGAAGAGGCGTGAAGGCGTAGGCTCCTTTTGCTCAAAACCTTCAAAATGTCGTGATTCTGTTTTTCCTGATGGGCCAGTCACAACTTTATATAAGGTTTGGGTGCGATCTACATAAACGACTTTTTGTTTTGCAATCGCATTTTGGCACCGGGATCACTGCAGTAGGAAGATTTATTGAGACAACAATCAGATTGCACTTTCGGTTGTCGTAATTTATGACTTCCAAAGTCAGGTCGCATAGACATCCGAGCGTATAGAGGACAATAGGTGCACAGACAGCTAGCAGGTGCTGTAATAGATAGCCGCGTATTTGTTATGGACTTCTGCACAGGACCTCTCTCTTCGACACCCTAGCCCCCCCCCCCCTCATCCAAGCTTGCGAGGCTTCCTTCAAATCAATGCTGAATTGAAGTGAAGAAATGCAAGAGCTATTCAGTAAGCAATGCAAACACTACGAGCCTCACACATAAGACCCCCAACACTCAAGTTAGACCTTTCACTACCTTGAAAGAAAGGAGTAGCAAAAGAGCTAGCCTCAACACTTGAAACATTGCATTTATGAGCGAAAAACCAATGCGATGAGAAGTAAGAGTCTAGTTGATTATAATTCATGAAATCAATGTTGAATACCTGTGACATTTCGCATAATCACTTCGCCAATTTCTCCCAAAGAAGCACCTGCGCTGTGCTTGACGTGGTGCCATACATTCTTTCTCAAGTGCGCACAACATGCTCCTAAAAAAGTTGTGCAGGTTTCTCTTTCAAGAAACTCAGTTTGAATACCACTTCAGCAGCTCAACGGTGTTCGCACTAGTGACAACATATGCTAGGCTGGAGGCATAACACTGTCCTTTCTTCAAAGCGTCGGTGTCCGTCGGAATATATTTGTAGAGATCTGAAACTGAACAGCAAAATCTCTTTTCAGGGGCAGATAATCCATCGAAATTGGATTGCAACCGCTTACAACAGTCACAATTTTTGATTTTAAACTCAAGAAAAATAAATGAATTATTCACCTTTTTAGGGCAAAAATGAGCAAGGCAAAGAGAAATCTAAGAGATTGTTAAGCGGTAAACACACAGCCGTCAAATACCGTTCGTGGCATTTACCACGTTTTAAAGTTACAAATGACTCGATGCATCAAAATAAACATGAGCAACTCAAACGTTACGTACCAGGGTGCGTGGTTGCATACGTACTGTGTAGAGTTGGTAGGTGTAAGAGGTAACCTGGCTAAAACTTTTACATTGCAGTTGGCATTACTATATTGGTGAATTAAGCATACCATTTTACAAGCACTGGCTGAATCAGGTCTTGTGCGGGATCTGAAAAAAATTCAGTCTTACGGAGAGTGGTTCAAAAGTGTCTCACTGTGTTTCTTTGCGACACATGCTTTTCTCATAGAATAAATTCCGAATATCTTCGGACCAGCGTATGGAAGTGTCCATATAAAAAATAGAACCAAATTCTTTGAGCGCCATCTAAACAACTTGTCGTACAAACATTGATAAATTTTTCAATATCGAAGGACTATGTGTTTCAGATCGTGCTCACTGCTATTACGATTGGCTTCCATCTGTACTCCGTAAGTTTTCCAATGTGATCTGGATAAATCCCAAAGGCAAACTTGCGCAGTTCCACCAGGCATTTGCTCTTAATGACATATATTGCGATGAAAGTGATACTATAGTTATAGTGGCAAAGGCTTACTTTGATGTTGACTGCTGATTCGTTTTCAAGCCCCAAATCATAAACGATAATTTTCTCCGTTTTCCAAAATTTGCGAATGTTGGCTATCTGTAAATATCTTCTTAAGTGAGCTGGATAAAAGCTAGTACAGAGGTGAGTACTCAGTTGGTGGACTGTTTGCATCACAGGATGGAGCATCCCAACCTTAGAGTAAAGCTGCGTACAAGTCTTATTTGAAAGGTACACAACTACGCGTCTCTTCTTTAATTATGTAATTTCAAGCCGCTCATATCTATGAATTTAGCACAATACGACAAGGTTAAATCGACAAACAATTTGGCATTGTCGTTTGTTTTTCTTTCACATTTCGATTCTACGATGGATATATTTTCGAGCTTAGGAAACGGCCATAGGTTGCCGGCAAGGTTGCCGAGGTTGCTGGGGTTGCTGAGGTTGCCCAGATAGCCGGCGTTGCCGGGGTCAGGGACAGCTTAGAAAGCGCGCGAAACTTGGAGGTTATAATGAGGTTTTACGACGACCGGCAACCCCGACAACTCCAGCAACCCCGGCAACTCCAGCAACCTCGGCAACGCCGGCAACCTCGACAACGCCGGCAACCTCGGCAACCGTTGCCGGCAACCTGTGGCCGTTTTCTTAGCGTTCCCTTGAGTTGCTGTATACTTTCAACAAGAAGCATGATGTTTTTGGTTTCGTTTGAGAGCTGCGTATGTTTGAGTCTGAAAGCTTTAAAAGAAAACCGTTGTTAGCCTAAACTTTGCGTTAAAACTCCTCGACATGAATGATTGCATGAAGTTGTGCGGAATAAAATTTTGAGTGTGCTCTACTGGAAAATTTATACCGGTGATATTTTCATGTGCTAGATCCAAACAATCCAACGTATCCGTGCTTCCGTGGCTGTGGCAATGCGAAGTCTACAAATGTAGTATCTTCCTAGGCTTTTTATGAAATAAGTCGAGCCATTTTTCATACTTATACTAAGTCTTTCAGGAGTTTTCGCTTTCTTTGAACAAGCGTCGTGCTCCCCGCAACAAAATTTCATGAAAGATTGCGAGCATTCGATACAGTTGTTTGTGCTCTTTGTACTATTGTAACGTGCCTGCCGAATATTCCGCGCAAGTGCGAACAGCGGATTCTATGTTTACACAACGAGTGAGTAAGCAAACATTGCAACAGCGAAGTGATCGAACATGACGAAAACGAACTAGCAGAACAAGAGAAAGAAATTCATGGAACTATCGAAGGATAATGGACCTATTAGGAAGTTTGTGTATTTTCCATTAGGCAATGTTAACCTGAACCCTATTTTTATTATATGTTTTATGTGACTATGTATGTTTGCATCCATTAGTGAAACATATATATATAAGAGACCGTAGGAAGCCTTCGGTGTGCATTCGTACCTTTTCTTATTCTTATTCAATGTAGTTCCTCAACTTCCTCTTCGAACTCTCTTACTCTTGTTTTGTAGTTTTGCAAGTAGCGACCGCACCTTTATTCACTCATATCGGCCGTCATGATTCACCGCCGCTGGCCGACGGCTCACCGCGATCTTTTGTAGTTTAGCTGTCTTAATCCGAAAGGTCACTTGTTTCGTCCTATTGCATGATCACCTCCTTGCTAATAAATAGTTGTTGGGAATCGGTTTTGTTAAGGCCGGCGAACATTGAATATCTCAAACACGATATTTTCATCAGTCTTAGCATTAGCTGCTCTGCGGAACTATGCCGAGCCTTACATGGAGGTTCCGATTTCGAACTATATAGCGTTAATAACTAAATTTAAAATTTCAGAAGCATGAGCATTGCTAATGAACGCTTTGAACACCTGCGCGATATTCTAAGTACTATCAGAGACGAAACTCCGATAATTCCTGAAAACCCATCGGAGGAATGGAAAAAGGAGCAAGAAAAAGTCATGGCCGTACCACCTCCGGGAATGCATGTCCTTCGCCCGTTCATTTCCGCCTATCGTCTAGCTACGCTTTTGGAGGAAGAATGCAACTGTCCATTGAAGTATATAAGAACACGAAACATCACACGCCACTGTAATCGTCTATCCGCTTTATCTCTGGCAGCCTTCAATGGCAGCTGCCGACAGTTCATTCCAAACTACTCTTCCTTCACAATTTGTCCAAAATCAGCGAAAGAATATCGTTTTCCATGTAACACATGTCCCAGAAGCTCTTTTCATAATTTGCAAAAACATCTTTACTACAGACATGGTTATTCACTGAGTGCTCCGAATGTTCCTCTGCTCGATTTTTCACCTAACTCTTCCACCCCACTCGTTCTCCATATTGAGCAAGTCTGGTTGATTATTGGCCAACTTCCCAAAGTCATCCTTTACCCGTTTAACCATCCACGCGAGGACTCCAAGCAGCAGCACAAGGATTCCGACGTTTGGGAACCACGTCCATCTGCCAAATCGTACTAACTTGTCTGGTGTCGTATTACTATCTTCACATAGTATTGTATACTTTTCAACTTGTAGTAACACCATGAATTATTAATTTATTATGTACACAAAATAATAAATAACATTCAAATGAGATCACTCGTTCGGGATTGGCCTCCAGCATAGGAACGTTGGGTGGCTGCCCTCGCGCCTACACCGTGCACAGTGAAGATGGGTAAGGCACATATCCCAATCATGGAACTCGGCGCATCGCCCACACAGGCGATATGCGAAGACAATCCGCACTCGATTTTGAAACTCCAAGTGCACCTCACAGTCGCAGGTTCTGTGGCCGTTCACGCCACACACCCTAGCCGAGGGCGGACACTGCGGAATTCAGCGTTCGGCCCCAGTAGAGGTGCCACCTCTTCATCTTCATCAAATTCGTTTTCATCTTCCGCCGCCTCTAGCGCCCGTTCGAGTGCGTTTAAGCGAAGGAAGAGTAGCATGTCTTCCCTACGGGTTAGGGGACGGGCGCCTAACCCTAGGACCGGATGATGCGGACCCTCCGGTGAATCGCGACCATCTACTCTCCATACTTCGCTCTCTGATGAGGAACCTTCCTGCCAATCATCCGGATCCTCTGGCACTTCATCTTCATCGCCCTCATGATGGTAACCATTCGGCAATCCGAGATTCGGCATTCCGAGCTCTTCATTTCCATCATCTCCTGCTTCATTCGCCGCTTCAAATATTCATTTATCATCCTGATTATTTTGTTTCATAAGCACTCCTTTATTACCTTCATTATTCGGCGCTCCCAATACCACCCTATCATCCCGATCTTCTTGTGCCTCAGGCACTCCATTAGCCCTACCATTTGGCATCATCTATAAAGTAGGAAATGAAATTACAACCACATCTCTTTTTTGCTAAAATGTTAGTACATTTGAAGCTCTTCTCTGGATTAGAATGAAATAACCTCATTTTAGTATTTTATTTTTTCATCTTGTTTTCCCGCTGACCTTTATTTGCAGAACCTATAGCGTCCAACACGTCGTCATCAACCACAGCGCGATTATTGCGACACCAACGCAGGGAGCAACGAAGAGAAGCAATTTTCGAAGCAAATCGAAGGAAGCCGACCATGTCAAAGGAAAGAAGATCAAGCATGTCAGAGGAGAAAGAAGAAAGTAAACCAACTACGTCACAAGAAAGAAGCGCAACACCTTCTATCTCGGACAAGGAGCTTCAAGAACAGTTATACAAGGCCTGTAAGATACTGGGAAACCGATTGGACAAGTTCTCAGGCTCTGGGGAAAAAACTCTTGAGGAATTCCTGAGTGAATACTCGGAAGTGACGCATGAGCTTGCTATCCCGAACCTGATTTCGCAGAAATTACTACCACTCTACCTGACAGGTGGAGCGAAACTGAAGTACCAACAGATCCCGAATCGAGAGAAGATACCCTGGAAGGATTTGGTAACGGAGCTAGCCAAGCGAATGAAGAATACCTCTCTTCTCAGCAATATCCGAGATGAGCTACATAATATGACGCAAGGAAAGGACACCGTGGGAGAATTCGCCAAGAAAATTTACAACAAAACGAAGATCGCTTTCCAGGGACAAGGACAACCACTCATTAAGCAGATGGCCATTGATTTCTTTATCAAGGGCCTCAATCCCGAGATTAAGAAAGCGGTTAGAAGACTACCTGACACGGACGAATTCGATGAGATAGTATGCAGTGCAGAAAAGGAATCTCGCATCCTGGAACAGGAAAGGAAAGAAGACAGAGACGCCCTTCAAGCCGTCAATGCTCTTCTTATGGATGAGAAAATCAATCGGCTTGAGCAGCAGTTGAGTCAGATGAAAGCAACACCACGACAGAAACCTACCAGTGATCAGGATAGAAATAAGTTCAGGCAGATACAGAGGACACTGCGACCTATCCAGAATCCTCCCTTCTTCGGCCCGCGAGGATATTATCCCCGATACCCACCTTTCCGTCAACGTGCACTCCCATTCTACAATCGCAGAATGTACAACAACAGATTTCCACCAGTACAAGGAAGAAAACCTTATGGCTATGGAGCACCATCATATGCACAATATAGACCCCTTCCGATAAGTGATGCTCCAGCTCCCGCACCTCCCAGCACCTTCGCGAGAGGAAGGATCAACCCTCCAGGGATTCACTTATTGTGTATCATGACTTTGATACTGTGCAGTGGATTCACAATTGCGAAATACCAGATATGTGGCACAAACCCATATTCGAACATCTTTTCACTTCCAGAATCATTCGATTGTACAGCTCCGACAAACGCACCTATGTTACGAACTACGATGCAACTGTTTGCAGATACTTCCAATCCATTCTGGAATAATGCAACTAAGTGCTACAGAGATGCCATTGAGGTATCTATAAGCAGTTTTCTCCGTATTCGTACTACCACCACCATATTGCGACGTCGCCAGTTGTCGATCTCTCAAGAACTATGCGCAACGGCCAGGACATCAAGAAATATACACGATCATGAATTGATTCTGCAGTCGGATGGATTATGGACCACCAATGAAATAGAGGAAGATGACATCGCGATACCACTATGGGGGACCAGGAACTATCTTCGCAGTGTATACACCGTAGAGGAAGGACAAGTCGCCACTTTCGACGGACAGCACATCATGAGTCCATTGGGTGACACCGAGAACTGCTCGTACAGCCAAGGATACTGTCTCACACAGGAATATACGATCATATGGAAACCAACTGAAGTCACACCTTCCTGCAGATTCAAACATGTTGGAACTTTCGAAGCATTCGTCACCCTAAACTACATAGTCCTTCCCCACCCGACCTCGTCTTCCAATTTTCTGAGGATTACCTTCTGCACGAACAACTCACCAGATATTGTCAGTTGGGCACCAGTTACCTTACGACATCGAACCATATCATCACTTTTCCCCAAGTTCCACAAGACTTTACCATCCAAGATTATGTATTGCGCATGGCCCATCAAGGAAGAAGAACAAAGCGTGCTATACGACATCTTACGGATAAAAACGGTAACACCTTCCCGTTTGAAATTGTGCCGATGGAACCTGTATTTCTGACTAAGCGATTGTTCGGTGTTAGACATCTCAGAAGAATTCCAGTTTTTAACACGCGCCCGATAACATGGAACAAGATCCTCTACGAGCTAAAACAATGGAATATTACCAATAACGATCTTATTCGGGCGACCCGGTACTATAAAATGGATGATCCAAGGCACATAGTCCTACGTACGATACGGTACGGCGAATATCGCATGAAGCAATTAAATTTATTTGCGGAATCCGCGAAGAAAACACCTCCAAATTATGCCGTGACCAACATCCGACGAGACCTAGAACTGGGTATTTCTCCCATATTCGACGATTATCTTGAGAAGGAGTTTGGAAGAATCGAATACAACATGCCAGGACCGTTAGACTCAGAATGGAAGTCTAAAATCCCCTATTTCAATGTCACCTTAGCAGCGCTGGCAGCAACTTCTCCGGCCCCGACAACTCCACCAACCACGCTAGGCAGTCCGACCATGACAACATCACCACCCCGAACAGTTCCCCTGACCACAACGTCACGAATTTCATCAGCGGTACAAACAACATCAGCCCCACAAATAACAACTCTAGGGACAACGACGACTTCACGAAGAACAACAACCTCTACGACAACAACAACAATACGAACAACGATGATGTCCGGAACTCCTATGAGGACATTCAAATTGACAACAAGGATATCACCTGTTCGAAATACCATGGCGACGACAACAACTCTACCATCAACATCTACCAGTCCAACCAGAACACCCTCTTCTACAAAAGGGACTTTCTTTTCTACCACTACAACCAAAACTAGTAAACTAGTATCGTCACCTCAATCGCCGGAGACAACACTTTTGATGAAACACTATACCCAACCATCAAGTACTTCGGAGAGAATGTCGACGATACCAACGAGTACTACCTCTTCCATTTCCCCATTCACAACGCCAGAAGTCTATCATCTGTATTACCACACCCCACTACCCACCTTACAACCCGCAATAGAGGCCGAAACACCAGCCTCTACCCTATCATGGGAGGAAATTTTGACGCGAACAACGAGATTTGTCTCTATGGATTGGACGGTACCAGTAGTGGACTCTATATTATCAACGGTATCAGTAGTGGATTCGGTATTGACATCAATTATACCTGCTTCAACGACGATCATACCAACAAGGGCTGAGGAAGAGGAAAATGCTTCAACAACAGTAGAAGCTGCAAATTTCTCTACAACATCTTCAATATTTTCTGTGCCTACACAACCACCTGATACGGAAAATATTTCCCCTCAAAATTTTGCGGTGCGACGTCAGTTTAATAATATCTGTGTCCGACAATACCTCGGAGCACAACGGATACGCACCCTAAGCTTGGTAGACCCTACATGGGCCGCCAGGATTCTGTTGGGAAGAACTGACATCACGGCCGTACGGACTGCGGACAACTTATTAATTACGAAATGTCGCCAGGTTACACCAACCTTCGTCTATAATAATCATACGGTTAGTGGAACATGTTATATATTGACACCCGTCAGGATTGACGAGGATCTTTGGTTTGAAATACCGGGAACACAGGACTTGATACAAACATCTGCCACCGTTCCCTGCCCCTACTTATCACCAAAGGATTCCAATTCGACACAGAAGCTTATACTGCCCAATGCCGTTATTAACGATAGAGTAAAACCTTTTCTTTTCGACACTCCACCTACATTCCACCGCCTGTTTGACGATCACGCCTTATCATTGATTCCACACATGGAGGCAATCAGACAGGAGCAAGCAAATGTGGTCTCGCGACTTCAGAAAAGAGGAATAATTGAAGAGACATTTTCACGGATACGGAATACCAGCATGTCCCTGGGTCAGTCTCTATTATCCCTTTATGAGTCAACAACACAGAAGCTTTCGGATGGCGTGGAAGATATCAAGTGGTCAGTTATTTACACCATACTTTGGATTGCAATACCCGCCACTATTATTTTACTTTGTGTCGGAGCTTGCGTTATTTACGTGAAGCTCTATTTCCTTAGACGCGCGACTTCGACTGCCGCATCAGCTATGTTCCACATCGCCAAGAACTTCACCCCGAAACGGAAGACTAGGAAGCAGAAACATAAAGTCAATTTAGTAATGGTGGATTTGCCACCAAGGGAAGAAGAACCTCTCTTCGTACCACATATCTATGCCATACAAACGGAAGCACAACATTTGCCATACTTGAAGGTCAAAATTGGCATTAACTCGGTCACAGCGTTATTGGACAGTGGAGCAACTATATCGCACATGAGGGCATCAACGTTATCACTGATTGGAGGAACGAAATCGCCTACGGGAGTATCAAGAACAGCGACAACTGCAAATGGTACATTAATACAGTTGTCAGGTACCGTTTGTCTGCCAGTTCAGATAGGAACACACGTTATTTCTCATTGCTTCTATGTAGCAGCAGACAAGGATTGTCCAGTCCCACTTTTGCTAGGATCGGACTTCATCCGTGCTTTAAACGAAAGCGGTTTATTGGTTTCCCTTGACCTCCATCACAAAACCATACGAATAGGACCAGAAGATATAGACCTCGTGCCCATCAATTATATCACACTTGCGGATATATCACCTTATGAGGTACGGCTCGTCAACGACATAGTACTGCCTAGACGGACTAGTAACATAGTGGAAGCCCATATCGATGGACTAGCATGGCCAAGATGTAAAGACTTCCTTATTGAAGATAATCTACGACCAATGGATGACATTTTTGTCATCAGCCGAGCTCTCGTTACGC